CCTTCCAACCTAAACCAGTCTGGGTTTCCATGGGCTTGGGATGTGGGAGAGCCAAGGGTGTCCCTACTGATGTGGTGTGGTCCCAGCAGCACGGGAGGCGGAGCTAAGGCGCCTTCGGAAGATGAACACAGAGTTTGAGGAGCAGAATGCCATCCTGCAGAAGCACACGGAGAGCATGAACTGTGCCAAGGAGAAGCTGGAGCAGGAGCTGGCTCAGGAGGAGAAGCAGACCCTGGCCTTGCAGCAGCAGCTCCAGTCTGTGCGCCAGGCCCTCACTGCCAGCTTTGCCTCCCTTCCCATCCCCGGTGAGTTTGGGGTGGCTGTGGAGACCTGCAGGGAGACATCCTGGAGCTCTGCATGTGGTATAAGCAGGGCAGTGAGGTGGTGATAGACACTCATCTGATGGTGGAGTAGGATTTTGGAGCAGTTTGGGGTGCCCAGGGATGTGGCAGTCAGGTGGCTCCCCTCTAGCGGGGTAGGGCAGGCTGGGAGCCATCTTCCTCTTGAGCCATAGTCACCCTTATGCCCACAAGGCAGAGATTAGTCCAAATCCTTTTGTTCTATGATTCTATGATTTCTGGGTTTGTGGTGGTGTGGTGCTCTCCTGCTGCAGGATTCAGGGTCCTGTCACCAGCATTGATGGGCTGGGCCGGGCTAGATGGAGACTCGCTGGCCTTGTTTAACTGGGCTTCTGCCCCACAGGCACTGGGGAGACACCCACACTGAGCACTCTGGACTTCTACATGGCCAAACTTCACAGCGCCATCGAAAGCAACCCACTGCAGCATGAGAAACTGGTGGTGCGCATCAAGGAGATCCTGTCCCGGATAGCCAGGTGAGCTGGTGTCCTGTGTGTCCTGGTGAGCACTGGGGCAGCCCATGGCAGGGATGAGCAGCAAAGTGGGGGATAGAGAGGAGCTTTGAGCTGCTCCAGAGCTGTGGGAGAGAGAAGCTTCCCCCCTGTAACTCAGCTTTACTTTCTTCCGTCTCCAGTGAGCACTTGTGAAGGGGACCAGTCCCTGTGGAGCCTGGGGCTGGCCGGACCCTGGCCCTGTCCCTTGGAGCTCACACTAGGGACAGTCTGCTGGGGTCCGGTTCTTTCTTCTCCACCCCTTATCGGAGGCATGAGCAGGGACCCCCTGGCCCTGGGGCACCATCTCTGAGGACATTTAGCTTCTGGGGACCAAGTGATACCAGGGCTGTGAGGGACATGGTGTTGTGGCTGTGAGCAACCCCCAGCACACCCTGTGAGCCCCCCAGCTCCTGCTGCTCCAGCTCAGAGACGCCCCAAAGGCTCTTGGTGGTGGGTGAGTTGCTTGTGGGTTACAGCCTCTTCCAGCGTGACACAGTGGCTGCTTTTAACTGGCCTGTGCTGGAAGGGAAGCAGCCAGGTGCCTCCTGGCCCCTGGAGCAGCTAAGGCAGCTTCTTGCTGCCCTGTCCTGCAATGCTGATGTGGCACGTTCCCTTCTGCCTTCCTCTTGCTTTATTTAATCCTCTCCATGGGTGCCTTCATCCCCCTTCCTGTCACCTCCTTTCCCCTGGCTCTGGGACCAGGAAGGGCAGCTTCTGCCACCTGCAACAGCAGAAGCGAAGTAATCATTCTGGATGGGGAGCTGGCCCCAACCCCGTGCACAGGCTCTGGGCTCCTGCCCGAGCCCATCCGAGAGTGGGACCACCACACTGGTGGCTGTGTCCTGGCCCTGCCCTCCCAGGGGCTGCCTCTCACCAATCTCAGACTGTTATTAGAGAGTGTCTTATTTTCTTACTTAGCATAATGTGGATCAAGCCCTGGGTTCAACCTGGGGCTGGACTGTGCCTGCTTGGCTCCTGCCTGTGAGGTCTGTTCTCTGTCGAGTCTCCTGGTTGCCATCTCCTGGTGGCTGCTTGGCTTGGGATGGGAGATGGAGCAAATAAATATTGGAGAAAACCAGGCTGGGCTCAGTGTGTTCATGCTTGGGGCCAAAATCCCAGGGATGTTGGGGTGCAGGAGCCAGCGTGTTAGACTGGTTTGTGGTGGAAGGGACCTTAGAGCTCATCCAGTTCCGACCCCCTGCCATGGGCAGGGACACCTTCCACTGGAGCAGCTTGCTCCAAGCCCCTGTGTCCAACCTGGCCTTGAACACTGCCAGGGATGGGGCAGCCACAGCTTCTCTGGGCACCCTGTGCCAGCGCCTCAGCACCCTCACAGGGAAGAGCTTCTGCCTTATCTCCAACCTGAACCTTCCCTGTGTCAGTTTGAGCCCATCACCCTTTGTCCTGTTGCTACAGTCCCTGATGCAGAGCCACTCTCCAGCACCCTTGTAGCCCCCTTCAGACCCTGGAAGCTGCTCTGAGGTCTCCATGCAGCTTCTCTTCTCCAGACTGAGCAGCCCCAGTGTTCTCAGCCTGTCTCCTATGGGAGCTGATCCAGCTCCTGATCATCCTCATGGCCTTCTCTGGACTTCCAACAGCTCCATGTCCTTAGGCTGGGGACATCAGAACTGCACCCAGTGCTGCAAGTGGGGTCTCACTAGAGCAGAGGTGCAGGATCATGACCTGCTGCTCATGCTCCTGCTGATGCAGCCCAGCACACAGGGGGTTTCTGGCCTGCCCTGAGTTCCAGGAAGGGTGTGATGGAGCCAGGGCCCATTCTGGGCCCAGTGTGTTAATACTTGGAGCTGCTCTGGGCCTAATCCTAGGGGTTTGGGGTATGGAGCTCCGATGCTGGCCCTGAGCCCTTTGCCGCAGCTGCACCAGGTGCGGTGGAGCTGGGGCCCGTTGTGGATGGCAGAGCTCACCCGATCCCAGGTCCTGGCTCAGGTTCCCGGCCCTGGGATCACCTTTCGGCCCAGCACCATCTATAATTGAGCGACGCGGGCAGCGATGCGGCGCGCGGGCAGGCACGGCCGGCAGCCCCCGCAGGGCAGCCCCATGGAGAACGGCATGAGGCAGGCACCAGGCACCCCTGAGCCCCCCGCAGCTGAGGGCCCCCTGGCGCCCCGTGCTCCCCGTGCGCGACCCCGGCTGGTGTTCCACACGCAGCTGGCACACGGCAGCCCCACGGAGCGCATCGAGGGCTTCACCAACGTCAAGGAGCTCTACGCCAAAATTGCGGAGGTCTTTGGCATCTCCCCCACTGAGGTGAGGGGGGCGTGGGCGGGGGCTGGGTCCTGGGTGCCCCCGGACCCTGCTGCTCCCATGGCTGGCTCCTGCCCTGGCACCACCAATGGAGGGCCTGCAGCAGCTGACGGGGGGCTCCCTGGCGCAGATCCTCTTCTGCACTCTCAACACGCACAAAGTGGACATGCAGAAGCTGCTGGGGGGGCAGATCGGGCTGGAGGACTTCATCTTTGCCCACGTCCGGGGTGAGACAAAGGAGGTGGAGGTGACCAAGACGGAGGACGCTCTTGGCCTCACCATCACAGACAACGGGGCTGGTTATGCTTTCATCAAGGTGAACCGCCTCAGCCGGGGGGGCTGCCCTGGGGCCTGCAGGGTGACCCTCTCCCTGGCAGTGTGCTCCTCCCATCACCTTCCTGAGGGTCTCCCCCACTGTGGGGAGGGCCCTGCCTGGCTGTGGAGGGTTTTATGGGTGGGGTGGGGTGGGGGCTGTGTCTCTCTGTCCTTCCCCTGTTGCCACCGTGGTGCTGTGTCCCCCCCGTCCCCAGAGAATCAAGGAGGGGAGCATCATAAACCGGATCCAGGCGGTGTGTGTTGGGGACAGCATCGAGGCCATCAACGACCACACCATCGTGGGCTGCCGGCACTACGAGGTGGCGCGGATGCTGCGGGAGCTGCCCCGGGCTCAGCCCTTCACCTTGCGCCTCGTGCAGCCCAAAAAGGCCTTTGGTGAGTTGGGAGACTCCCCCCTCCTCCCCCCCACCTGGGGGACCCCTGGAAGGACCAGCCCCTCCCCAGGAACCACCACCCCTGTGTGCACCCTCCAGCCCCACATCACCCTTTGGGACACCCCTTGTGCTCTGCACCCCTGCACCTACTTGTACTCCCCGTGGATGCCCCACTCCTCTGTGCACTGCCCTGTGCACTGCCCCCCTGCACCCACGGGTGTCCCCATGCCCTCACTGCCTGTGAGCATCCCCTGGCACAGTTCACCATGGGGTGCTGGGCCACACGTGGGCTGGGATGCAGGTGTCAGGGTTGGGGGGTGTCAGGTTGGGGTCAGGGGGGCTCTGGGCTGCCCTGACCTCCCGTCCTGGGCTGCAGACATGATCGGGCAGCGGACGCGGAGCAGCAAGGCCCTGGGTGAAGGCAGAGTGAGCAGCGGGAAGGAGACGCTGCGGCTGCGGGCACAGGGCCCGGCCATGCTGGAGGAGGGGGTAAGACCCCCAAGAACCCCTCACCCTGAGTCCCTGCACACAAACACAGTGCCCAGGGCATGCAAGAGCATCCCCCATGCTCCCGGGTGAGCCTGCACCAGCGGGTGCCTCGCTGAGGGCACCCATGAGCATGGCTTGGTGGGACCGGAGGTCCCTGCTCTGTCACCCCCTGACCCCCTCCAGCCCAGCCCCTGCAAGGAAGAGGCCACGCATCGGGTGGACGATCTGCTGGAGAGTTACATGGGCATCCGAGACAGTGAGCTGGGTGAGCGGGGGGGGGGAATGAAGGGCAGCAGGGGGGCAGTGGATGTCCTCCCTGCCCCCCACCTGCTCCTGACCCTCCTCTCTTCCGCAGCCTCGACCATGGTGGAGGTGGCGCAGGACAGCGCTGGCGCGGCGCAGCTTGCCCATGGCCTGGCCTCGGTGCTTGGGGACTTCGCTTTCCCCCAGGAGTTCGTGGCTGAGGTGTGGGCGGCCGTCTGCCCCTCCCGAGTGGGGCAGGAGTAGCGGGGGGGGGTCCCCATCCTGCCCCGCCAGAGCTGCACCCAAGGCAGGGGCAGTGCGGGGCACCACTCCCCCCAGCTTCCCTTTGCACACCCCAAAACACGGCTGTGGCTCAGTAAAGCAGGGAGTGGAGGAGCCCAGGGGCTGTTCCTCTTTCTGTGCCCCCCTGTGTCCACCCAAGTGGGCACAGAGCTGCTTTATTGGGGTCTCATGTGGATGGGGACAAGGCGGGGGAGCAGCCTCACACCCGCTGCCCCCCCTTTGGGTATTGGGTGGTGATGAGCACCTGTGGGTGAGGGTGATGGGGACAGTTGGTTACCCTGGGGTGGAGGCTGCTTCTCCTGTCCCCACATGGGGCCACTACTGCAAGACAGAGCTGGGGGTGAGCTTGCGGCGCAGGGAGAGGTTGAGGACGGGGTAGAGGGAGGTGATGGAGGGCCGTGGCCACAGCCCAGGGTAGATGCGCTGCAGCACAGCCCGGCGGAAGAGGATGTAGACCCAGGGGTCCAGGATCTGGTTCCAGGTGACCATGCGGATGTAGATGAGCAACATCTTCTGTGTCTCCATGGGCAGCGTCTGGAGCTGGCCCTTGGCTGGCAGCTGCTGCAGCACCATCTGCACAATGAAGATCTGGGAGAAGGGGGAAAGGTGTCAGTGGGGGGGATCCATGCAGAGGTCATGAGGTGCTTTGTGGTCAGGGAGATGAGGAGGGTCCAGGCTGAGCATTGAGCCTGTTACAGAGGGATCCTGGTCTGGTCTGGGGGCCCTGCTCTCCTGTGTGTGGCACTGAGCCCCAGAGCCCATCATCCAGGTCCAACAGACAGAGCGGTGGCAGAGGGACACCAAGTCTCAGGGCATCACCAGGAAAACACCCTGAAACCTGGGACATCACCAGGGGGAGCATGGAGGGACAGCAAGACTCAGAAGGGACATGGTGGGGGTGGGAAAATGAAGACCCAACTCCTCACCAGGACCGTGAGGGGGGTGAGCCCAGGTCCTCACCAGAAGGGGCATCCAGCAGATGGTGGCGATGACCATGATGCCCACAAGCTGCACCATCATCTCCACCTCGCTGTCCCGGCGCCGCTGCACTGACTCCCGGTCATGGTAGACACGGCAGAGTGTCACCATGCTCACCGTGTTGAAGACAAAGGACAGCAGCACAGAGAAGATGCCCAGCAGAGCGAAGAGTAGGCAGAAGATGATGTCCCCGGTGTCAGGCAGGAGGGTGAGGAAGCACCAGGAGCCGGGGTACTGCAGTGTGTACCGGCCCAGCCCCAGCACTGGCAGCAGCCCCAGCAGGCAGGAGAAGCTCCACACCAGCCCCACAATGGACCAGGCGCGGCGCTTCGAGACGCTGGTGGAGCGGGAGAAGGGGCGGTTGATGCCGAAGAACCTCTCTCCTGCCATGGTGGCCCCCAGCAGCAGCGGGCACTGCCCGAAGAAGACCATGGAAAAGCCAAGGAAGTTGCAGAGGTGGCAGCTGGGGTCCACCCTGGCCCAGGCGAACTTGATGAAGTGGTAGGGGATGACGACCGAGGCCGTCACCAGCAGCCCCATGAAGTCTGTGACCACCAGCCCGCAGAGGAAGACAAGGAAGGAGGAGCGGGCCTGGCTGGAGAGCTTGCGGGAGGAGCTGAGCAGGACGCAGAGGGCAAAGAGGTTGGAGCCGAGGCCGATGAGGCCAAAGGCAGTGGAGAACCAGGGTGAGGCGATGCTGCTCTGCACAGGGTCGTGCCCGTTGCTGGCGTTGAACACCCCGAAGCAAGCGTCTAACCGGCTGCCATTGGAGGGATCCATGTCCCCCCACCCCATCAGGTGTACTCCTGGCTTGGCTCTATGGCGTGTGCCCCACTGGTGCTGGCACTGATCTTGTCTTGCCCTGTGAGGACAATTACAGAATCCCAGACTGGTTTGGGTTAGAAGTGACCTTAAAGCTCCTCCAGTCCCAACCCCTGCCACGGGCAGGGACCCCTTCCACTGGAGCAGCTTGCTCCAAGCCCCTGTGTCCAGCCTGGCCTTGAGCACTGCCAGGGATGGGGCAGCCACAGCTTCTCTGGGCACCCTGTGCCAGCGCCTCAGCACCCTCCCAGGGAAGAGCTTCTGCCTAAGAGCTCATCTCAGTCTCCCCTCTGGCAGGTTAAAGCCATTCCCCTTGGCCTGTCCCTGCAGGCCCTTGTCCCAAGCCCCTTTCCATGCTTCCTGCAGCCCCTTTAGGCACTGGAGCTGCTCTCAGGTCTCCCCTTCAGGAGCCTTCTCTTCTCCAGGCTGACCCAGGCCAGCTCTCTCAGCCTGGCTCCAGAGCAGAGCTGCTCCAGCTCCATGGCCTCTTCTGGCCCCACTCCAACAGCTCCATGTCCCTCTGGTGTTGGGGACCTCACAAGAGTGTGCCAAGAGGGGTTTCAGGGACAGAAACAAGGTGGGGGTTTGGGGCTGGTCCCCCATGGCCAAACCCACCCAGCATCCACTCAGGGCAGCAGATGTGGGTCTGTGGTGGGGGGACACCCACCAGCACCATGGGGTTGGCACAGCATGGGGTGCAGCTGGTCAGGATTAACAGTACCGGGCCCTGAGCCATGGGCGCTGCTGCCGCGAGGCTCTAACCCAGTGCAGCGGGTGCTGGGATCACAGCACTGGCAGCTCCGGGAATGGGCAATGGGTGCCCATCCCTGGGACCAGACTCCATGTGGGGGACCAGGCTGGGATCAGACCCCCCACCCTCTTCCTGGGACTCATTTCTCCAGGCTCTGGATGTTCCTGTCCCCTGTCCCCCCACCATCCCCATCCTGGTGCCCCTACCTGTCACCTCTGTGAAGTGTCACGCTCCTCGTGCAGGGTAGCACTGGCCTCTGCCCTCTGTTCACATAGGATCCCAAGCCTGGTTTGGGTTGGAAGGGACCTTAAAGCTCCTCCAGTTCCAACCCCTGCCACAGGCAGGGACCCCTTCCACTAGAGCAGCTTGGTCCAGGCCCCTGTGTCCAACCTGGCCTTGAGCACTGCCAGGGATGGGGCAGCCACAGATTCTTACCCTTAATGGCCACTGGGGAGCAGGGAAGGGAGTGGGAGTGGGACACGTCCCCATCCCTGTCCCAGTCCCGCTGGCAGATCATGGCGGTGATTCACTGCCCCGGCTTTTTCCATGAGACAAGAGTGAAAACTTGTGTTGTTTGTTTGCTCTGGTCCTCCCATGACTGCAGTGGCCCCAAAGGCATCTGTCCCCTTGAGGCACGTGGTCAAGCCTCAGTGAGATGGATCCAGGTCCCTGTGGACCCATCAGCCTTTCCTGCATCCCCCTGGGATCTCCACGGTAATGCCCCAGCTCAGAGGTCCCACTCCAGGTATCCCCTGAAGTGCCTGGGTGCCGTCCCCAAGCGTGTCTGTGTCCTCCCAATCCCAGGATGGTTCCTGCACTGGGTGGGGACCAGGACCCATGGAACGATGCTGCCCAGCTGCTTCTATCACCTGTGGACTCACAGCCATGGGATGTGGCACACCATGCCCTCCTGGGAGGTGGTATACCATGACCTCTGCTTGGGTGCATGGTCGCTGCGTGGTAGGATGCCACCCCTCTCCCCACAGTGCCAGCTCCACACTGCACATCCCAAACCCACCATCACCCATGTCCCCTCCCCTCCTGCCTTGGAGCTTCCGTGATCTGGACCCTCATTGCCAGCAGAGCTGGGGACACCAGGGACACCACAGCCTAAGGACTGGGCATGATGCAAGGGTGAGCTTGAGTGCTGAGCATCCATGTGCTGCTCTGGGCAGAGCTGCCTTGGAACTGTGCAGCTCTTAGAGGGGATAAGGCATTAAAGAGGGGGCATTCAGCCACTGCCCCACACACACCAGAGCAGAGGCACTCATTTGACAAGGTTCATGTGGGATGAGGGGATCCTCACTCACCGTCCTGTGGAGGAGACACCCTGAGCCTGCAAGCGGTTTTGAGGTTACTGGATCCAGCCAAACCCTTTTCCAAGGAGCTAATGCAGATGAAGGCAAAGGGGTGAAATCCCAGCGGAGAGGAGCAGCTGAGGGGTGAGAGGTGCTGGATGCAGAGGTGCAGGTATTAACAGGGTTGGCATCACGCAGATGCCCCATGGGATGCCCGGGCCCCACTTCCTGCCCTTGGCCACATCCGAGCTCAGGGAGGGGAAGGCAGGAGGCGGAGCAGGAGCACAGGCGGCTGCTCCTTATCAGCGTTCCCAGCCTGTCGCTCCCCCGGTTCCTCGGGCAGGGGGTGGGGGGTGCTGAGAAGGGAGGTTTCTGGGCAAGGGGACACGACAAAGAGAGCCCCATCTGCCCCTCCAGCCGATGTCCCTCCTGCAGGTGATCCCACAGGGCACCGCTAGGCACCAGGGATGGCCCCAGCACGCAGCACCCCCAGGATGGTGCTCTCTGGGTGGCGGATCAGTTCGAGGACATCAGCTGGGCTGATGATGGGATAATGATGGGATAACAGCTACACCATGTGGACAGGAACCCAGCAGGGCTCCCGCATCCTTTCCTGGACCCACAGCCACCAAGGGGACCAGCTGCTGGGGTCCTGGCCTGGCCTGGAGCAGGGACACTCCTGGGACACCCAGGACAGGGACACCGACGGGGAGAGGTGACACAGGAGCAGCAGCAATCCCTGTCAGGCTCGGTGGCTGTGGCCCATAGCATGGGGGCCGGGCAGGGTCCGCCCCGACGTGGGGGTGACCGGTGCTGGGGGGGCGGCTTGGGAGATGCCAGCCGCGGACACCCGGCCCAGGGTACGGACAGGCACAGAGTGCGGGGTGGGGGCACCGCCCGTGCCTGTCCCCCCGGGGGGTCTCCAGGTCTGTGCAGTCCCGCCTCCCCCCCGCCGTGTCCACCAGAGCCCCTCCGTTCCTACGTCCCAGTCTCTCTGTGTCCTTCCCCCGCTCCTTCCGTCCCAGCTCTTTGTCCTTCCCGTCCCTGTCCGGACCCTCCATCAGCGCATCCCCCCCGCCGCTGCCGGCCGCACCCACCCGGCTCCTCTCCGCGAACCCCGGGCACCCCCGGCCCCGCCCCGGTCCCCGCAGCATCCCCCGGCCCCGACTCTCACCTGCCCCGCGGCCCAGCAGCGCTGCAGCCCCGGCGCTGCGGTCCCGGCCGCGCTCAGCAGCGCCCGGCTTGGCCCCGCTTTACTCATTTGTTTACCCGAGACGGATTCCTGCGTTCGGAGGATGGGGAGGATGGAGCGGGGGGGCAGCGCCGGCTGGCGGGACCCATGGACCAGCACCCATCGAGCCCATGGATGACACCGGACACACCATGGACCAGCACCCACCGAGCGCATGGGTGACACCGGACACACCATGGACCAGCACCCATCGAGCCCATGGATGACACCGGACACACCATGGACCATGGGTGCACCGGACCACCATGGAGCGCATGGGTGACACCGGACACACCATGGACCAGCACCCATCGAGCGCATGGGTGACACCGGACACACCATGGACCAGCACCCACCGAGCGCATGGGTGACACCGGACACACCATGGACCAGCACCCATCGAGCCCATGGATGACACCGGACACACCATGGACCAGCACCCATCAAGCCCATGGGTGACACCGGACACACTATGGACCAGCACCCACCGAGCGCATGGGTGACACCGGACACACCATGGACCAGCACCCATCGAGCGCATGGGTGACACCGGACACACCATGGACCAGCACCCATCGAGCCCATGGATGACACCGGACACACCATGGACCAGCACCCATCGAGCCCATGGGTGACACCAGGCACACAATGGACCAGCACCCATTGAGCCCATGGGTGATATTGGGCACCCCACGGACCAACACCTGTCGGGCCCATGGGTGCGTGTGGCTGGGGGGCAGGCAGTGAAGGAGGGAGAGTTCCAGCCACTGCCTTTGGGGTTCTTTCTTCCCTGTTTCCTCCCAGGCCATCCCTAGCTGAGCCTTCACACACTTCCTGCACCCCCAGGGCTGAGCTTTAAATAACTCACAGGAAGGAGATGCCGGGGCTGTTACCCAGCCCCAGGGATGTCCGGCAGGATGGGGATGGAGACGCGGATGGGACACGCACGTGTGGGGGTAAGGCTTTTGGGGCTTCCTAAACCCCTGCAGCTGAGCCCTGGCATGATGGGGGGCCTGCAGCAGGTGTGAGACTTCCCTGAGCACCAGCTCCTATGGCCTGTGCATGGCTGGATGCAGCCAGTGGTGCTGAGAACAGCAGGACAGGGCAGCCCTCCTGAGCTCTGGGGGGAGATAACAGCCATGGGGCAGACCCCGAGTGCAGGGAGCCCCCCAACAGCAGGGCTGGCTCTGCCCCAGTGCTGGGGAGCCCCAGCAAGTCCTTTGGCTGTGGGACTGTAACAGGGAGCAGGATGCAGCAAGGTGGCCTGTGGGGAGGAAACAGCCTTGCTGCTGCAGTTCATGGCCAAGAGGCTTCCTCACATTCCAGCATCATTCTGGCTTCAGCAGCCCCCAGGTTCAGAAGCTGCTGGGGATGGGGCCATGTGGGTTGACCCCTGAACACTGGCTGTGTCCCATGGCCAGTACCAGGAGGGACCAACACCAGCGAGTCCCAGGTCAGCCTTGAAGGCGCCCAATATCCCTGATGCTTAAGGCTCTCAGGAACACCCAAGCTCAGGCAGGGGCAGCCTGGAGCTGCTGAGGCACCGGGTGGGAGGGACTGCAGGGCAGATTTTCCCCTGTAAGGAGATGTCCCATCCAACACCCTCTGCTCCTCCCTGCCAAGGCAGGCGCCTCACAGCCACTGAACCTTCATCCCATGACTGGGGTCAGGAGGGGGTGGTGGCTCTTCCAGGCTGGGGAAGCCAGATGCCAGGGTGGAACATGCCAGAAACAGGGCTGGCCAG